AAAAAAGTTGAATAAATGGTTAAATCATAAAAATGACACATTAACTTTAACTTCAGTGCTATCATCAAGATATCTATGTACAACATTTTAATATGAGACAGTGTTTTCCAGGTGTTCTTAAAGCGGTCCTCACAGGGTTAACAAGAATTCTGGATAGAAATATAGTTATAATTAAGCATTTCTCAGGCTGTACTTTGGCCCACTTCCTTGTAATCAAAAGTCACCATAGCACTAGATACTGACCATTTGCATCCCATTGTTTCTACAGATAGGATTTCTGATGTTAGAATCATTAGGCTTTTAAGAATTGCTTAAGCAGATCCTCAATTGTAGCAGAACAGCTGATGCTAATCATTTAAAAGACTCCCCACAGAGGAACTGAATCAGCATGAGAATACAGTTTCTTTATCTCCCAGTCCCATAACTTCACACTGCACTCTGACCAACCAGTGGTCTCCACCCTTCGGCTCAATCCAAAACCCTTAAAAATCTTAACCTCAAATCTGTCAAATAGATGGATTTGAAGACTCTTCAAATTTACTCTTTTGGCTATATTTAAACCTCTTTTTCTGCTGCAACCTGGAGTCTCAGCATATTGATTTGCTGTGCAACAGACCTACTACAGTTACATTCTTTAGCTTAGTTTAGTAAGCTAGTCATCACCAAAAATAAACTTTATTTAAACAGAGGATAGAAAACCAGGAAAAATCCCAAGGAATGGAGAACTTCACTCATGCTCCCTCAGCTTCCTATATCATGTGATTTTTTTTTTTTTTTTGAGACGGAGTCTCTGTTACCAGGCTGGAGTGCAGTGGCACAATCTCAGCTCACTGCAACCTCTGCCTCCCGGGTTCAAGTGATACTCCTGCCTCAGCCTCCCAAGTAGCTGGGACAACAGGCATGCACCACCACACCCAGCTAATTTTTTGTATTTTCAGTAGAGACAGGGTTTCACCATATTGGCCAGGATGGTTTCAATCTCTTGACCTGTTCTACCCGCCTCTGCCTCCCAAAGTGCTGGGATTACAGGCGTGAGCCACATGCCTGGCTAATATTTTTAATGAAAGGATAATTTTCCTCCTTGCTGCCCTTGGGTCCCAGCAAAGATGAAGGATGCCATTCTTCAGGAATTCACTCAGCCTGAATTGAGTCTATGTGTGAACAAGATACTGGGATGCATTTCCTGACTTTTTTGGCCTCAAAGTTCATATTTCAGCCATGACAAACTACCTGTAGCTTACACTTCCGTGCTTACATCTATAATCTGCCCTCTGCCTAGAAAACCTCATGATCTTCTTCATTTGGCTATTTCCTGCTTGTCCTTCAAGTCTCACTTCATGTCATTTCTTCCAGGAAGCCTTCCTTGATTGCCCTAGATTGGTCCCCATACCTACCACAGAACACTGTGCTACCTCTGTCATCATACATCACATTATATTAAGAGGATCCATTTATTTGCCTGTGTCCCCCTAGATTTCTAGCTCTGAATGTGCAGGAATTGTGTCACCTTCTTAATTTCCTCAGCTCCTAACACAATACTAGACAAAGAGTAGTGGTTCCGTAAATATAATGAGCCAATAGCCTTTGCTTGAGAAGGGACAGAGATGGTAAGGCAGGGCATATCCATGGACTAAACACTCACCTGGAGAAACAGCAAGGTGTGAATGAGAGTGAAACAGAGCAAGGCTGAAAATGCTCTGAAGGCCTTATGTGGGTAGCTGGCAAGGATGGAGGTGAAGAAGGAGGGGTTGAGGACAATGGACCCAACCCTTTGATCCAATTGATGGCATCAGTTCAATCCAGTACATTAAGAAACTAAACAGACTGAAGATAAAACCAGTTCACAAAAATGTATAAATAATAAAGGTGAACAAGAGGTCAGTATGGGGCAAAATGGTCACTTAGATTACATAACTAACTAGTCAAAAAGGGCACTACTCTTGCCAAGAAAGACCCTGGGCTGTATGGACCACAATAAAGCCCTGGGGGATCTGAATGTTGAGCCACATTTTGCTGATCATGGCAGTTTTTGTTACTCATGACTTTCCATTTGAAAGGCCTGCTTATCAAGAAAAGTAGAGGGTACCTCATTTTTGGCTCATTTACCACAACCTTTAACAACTGCCACAGTCACATTCTTATTTATTCTTACTTCTGCATAAAAGAGGCAGAATAAAGTTTCAAAAGGGCTCAAGGGCTCAAATCCTTGAGCATAAAAATCTTCAAAAGGCAACCTAAATCAAAAATAGTATACAGTTTACATTTCTCTTGAACTTCTATGACAATGAACTCTTTTTACTAATTAGTACCCAGTATGAGGTTCATCATAAGAGCAGAGAGAATATTTGCCTTGTAAAATGCATTTTAAATTAAGCCATTTTTAAATGTGATTAAAATAAACAGGCTAAATCAGTATTTTAAAAAAGAGCAATTTTTAATACAAATTCCAGAAGATGTTAATAAATAAGGCTGACTGTAAGATTTCAGGGTTAAATAAATT